AAACGTTTAATTACTTAATTAACATGGCATATTTTTACAATCTAATAAGTTATAAAACTAGAAATGATATTTTATTCCTTAAATAAAATAAATAAACATCGCAATTGGGAGCTTTTGAGCAAATAGTACGCCCCATGATGCTAACATTTCAAAAACTACTAGGAAAATCGTTGATATTAAAATGGACACAATTACAGATGTACATATATCTCTGTCAACAAGTTGCACAAATTTCCGAATATTATTAATATCCCCTTGTCACGTCACGTTCACGTAGGTGATGAAAAGTTCATGTGACCTGTGTCCATATCATTATTCAATAAAACGTTAATCATACTCCTAATTTTAAGATATATATATATTTAATGCAAATTATAATAGAAAACACGTTTAAACTTCCGGTGGCAGCCTTTATAACATATACACCAATTTCCCATACTCCTCACATCGTGTCAACTGTTACAATAGCTAAGGTTTTGCCAAATAACAGCAAATAGAATTAAATCAATTTGAAACAAGTTACATGTCTGCCAATTGTCCATAACTTATCAATCGACTCAAAAAGCGCCTTTAATTTATCATTGTAACGAGTGAGAGTACTCGTTATATAAATTGATAGTAAAAAGTCAATCCATTATTCAACCTATTAAAGTTGAGGAGACTACATTTCCGGTGCAATTAGAAGTCTAGAAGTGCGATATCATAGTTTGGGATTTAGTCGTATTACAAATTTTTATACGTAAAAATCTACCTCAATCTACCAAATGGTAAACCATGGCATGCAATTTTAAAGCCCGTCTTAACAGTACTCAACTTTTGCTGAATATATTATTTCTATATAAAAAAGGTTTTCTGATTGTTGTATATCTTGTATTCCACCATTTAGATCTACTGTACTGCTCTACATCACACATATTAGATCGTATCCGTACGAATAATACCAACAGACGCTTACTTACAGTCATTTTTACAAAAAAAAATCTCTTGTTATCACTAATGTTGTTTGTTTGCATCTGTACCAACCTACCTCTCGCAATACTGGTTAATGCTTCAGAGAAAAATAATCTGACGGATAAATCAAATGTTAATCCACGATAACCAAATCATTACCAAGCTAAATTTGAATATCATGTCGTTGAATCATGAAATGCCGACATTAATTACTAATTAAAGTACTAAAACTAGATGATGTTCATTTGCGATCTAATTGCAAATTACTTATGCGAGGACGAAGGGAATATCACTGCAGAATGATGGAAATATTATAAATTTAAAGTCAGCTGACGTGGTTTAACAAGTGGGCGTCGTCAAGGACTATTTCAATCTAACCAGTATAGTTTACCAATATTGAGCGACTCATTTGCATTAAGTTTTTTTTGGGGGGTGTCATGGAGTCGGCGGTTTCAATCAATTCAATCGGCGCTTCTCTATAAGAGAAGATTACTGATTTCTTTAAATGCGAATTATGGTATTTGACATTACTACAAGTTGATATATCACAACATTATCGGAATTAATTTGGCAGTACAGAACTTTTAATGTAGGGGTCGTGGCACACCACTGCCTTGAGTCATTAGTGTTTAGAATATAAATATTAAATATAGATGTATATAAATAAAATATAGAAAACGATTTTGATCAGTCAATCACGAACAACATTAAATAATCGCTTTGGGGTGTCCCGTCTGATAATTTCGCGGATTGCGGCCCTTGCAGTATTGCATTGGCTATAGTTGGGTGTAATTACATTTTTAAACTTTGCTTTGCTTGGGCATGTTTAACGATAAATTAAATTCAAATGTAATTTCAATCACCAAAATAGAACGTTACAAGCTTTATTTAAATATGTTAACCACAGAAATAAAGTCGTGTTAAAATGATACTATATATATACTATAGTATTAAAAATATTTTGCATGGATTATGACTTAATATCTAATCAAATTAAAAAATTAACTAAAACTTAAAATATTGCATAATAAAATTGCGGATATGCGAAATGAGAGAAATGAACGCGAATCTCCAACTTATCGGTGAAGTCATTTGGACGGATTTCATAGGAACTAGTGAAAGTAAAAACGACTTGAAGTTCGATCCATCAACAGAAAATAGAACAATAAATTACGTTAATGATTATTGTATGGTACTGTCAGACTGTCCGGATATCCGGAACCAACGATTTAATGAACAACATGTAGTCTTATTTATGACGGATCAGCACACAACATAACAGGATTACCCAAATACAGGATAAAAATAAATGAAACCTTCATAAAGTTATATATGCCAAATACCAGCATATATCGCCACAATATATAGCAATCAATCAATTTTCAACTAAAAGTATTCAATACCTTCTAAATATAAGCTAATATGGAGCAGGACTTATGTCAATACCACAAACAATATGTGAAACGTCTGGAATTCAGGATCACAGTAAACTAAGCATATATGGGTAAAAGATTATTTTTGTTGCAAAACAGCTCTTTTATTATTATTTAGTTATTACAGTAGTTTTCGCAAAGTTGTATGAATGTCAAATATTGTTTGGAAAAGTTCAGCAAAATTTTCGTTACTTAGGTGCGTCAAATTTGGTTCTCATTTGTGTATTGAAATAAAAACTTATAGTATGAGCTAAATGTTCTTCGGTCAATCTGCTAAAATACTGAATCATCGTTTAAATGCACAAATTAGAATAATAGGCATTGGCTTCTGCAATAAACATTATTAATCGTCGGAATCGCCTGACTGGGTCATTAGTTACCGTATATATATATATATTTCTGTACGTTTGGAACTTCGAATCGTGCACGTCACTCTTGCAGTCCATTACAATCGCAAGTTAATGGATTCTCAATAATATATAAATAGAACATGAAGTTCGTTGCAACCCATTCATCAAGAAACCAGCAATGAATAGGGAAAATTGAAGTCGCAAGTCGCACCACCATACCAGTACTATCTTGATGGGGAATTCAAATACTAAGATGACGTTTAAGCGTGCTTCCCGAGGACTTATAAATAGTTCAAAGGTTAGGCCTCTGAATGCCGTATCTTAAAGGTCTTTATGCAACAGAACTTGGATTTACTGTATTCTTGGCTACGAAATGGAATTTTCAAATTTATTTAATTCGGTTTTATTATACTCATGGAACTATAACGAAAACATTTTGTAACGTAATTCGAGTGTTCAGTCACTTCATGTGCTATGTAAAAATTTTAAAACTGACTACGATCATTTGAAAATATAGATTTCACTTTACCAAAGTGGTGGAAAGGCGCAAATTGGCATCATGGTTCTATACGGAATAATATTTTCTCAAACATTTTCAGAGAGATGATAGAAACGATCAATAGAAAGTCTGCAAATTAAGCGCCTTTAATAGCAAACATCCTAATTATCAAAACAAACAACTAAGATAATTTTCTGTAGTATTTGTTTACTCGAATTGAAGGCAAATTTAGTTTCGCCGATGCCATGTCGTATCTTGCATTTCCATTTTATCAAAAACACCACGAAAATAACTTATATGCAAACTACTTTAAAATTAAACCTAAAATGCTGCTATTTGAAGATAATGAAGGATACATTATATTAGTAAGATTGGTTTCACTGATCACGCCGATATTTCAAGACTGCCGTTATTTCCTAAAATTTATTTGATTTAAAATAAAACGGAATCGCAAGTTAGAATATCGTGAAACGATTTAGGGTTATCTATGGTTTAAATTTGCAAAGAATTGCACGTTTACATGATGTACGGAGACGATTTATGCCCTGATTTTGTCTGTCCTTAGCCAAATGATAAAAGTAATATAAACCAGAATTGAAATCGATCACGGTGTTATATGGTGCTCAATATAGAACAGAACGAAACTCGTGATGTTTTGCAGACATTTCATTCAAATTGCAGGGCAGACAAATCACTGCAAATGCGCTATTCCTTACTGCTACCTAGCGGAATTTACATTATTCATTTGTTACTGCTGCTCAGCGGCCTTGCACACATTGCAGTCGGTCGCGATTAATGAAAATTTATCGACAAAACGTAAAACAAGCAATGCAAATAGCATACGTGTAGTTCAATATGTCAAAATATACGTGGTGATTTACATCATATTAAACCATTATTAATAATTACATTAAAGAGATTTCATAACTACAGTATAAGGTAATGACAGTCATTGCTGACCCATTCGCGTATGCAATATACTATGTAATTACATTGAACAATGCTTCTCTTTTTAAGTTTCACATTCTATGTTGCTTCAGTGAATCATTAAGAGTGCAAGTGAACTGCTGTGTTCGTACGGCTGTTTCATTTGGCAGCTATGCTGGAGAACGTATCTTATAAACCCGCTATACACGGACATGCTGGCTGAATGGATGTGCTTAAGATGGCATTAAAACACAAATCAGAAAATTGAATTTTTAAACACTTTGGAATTTATATCACTAACAACTAAGGAAATGGGCTTATTTACCATGGAAATCAATGGAAGCAATGAACTTACTAGGACGGATTATCAAACATGAAACGAACATAACCTGTGGTTAATTTCCCCTGAAACAAATCCGTTATTCCTTACCCATAGCGTATTGATTGACTATGCTACAAAATTTGTTAGAGTTGGACCTTCCTGGTTTTACAGAAATGTCACAACTTTTATGCACAGGAAATATTGAATGTTGCAAACAAGAATATGTAATATTTTGAAAGCTAGCCTCTAAATTCTATTAGTTAATAAACAACTGTTAAAAACTCCTCATCAGCATCTTGATATGGCAGATAAATTCCTATATCGATTTTAGATTTCTCAAAAAAGGGAAAATATTTTTTCGTAATTGTATACTTCCAATCTTATGAGGCAATTTTACGAGGTATCAATCCATAACCAAGATAGTTTTAACATTGACAGAATTCAAGTGAGTGAATTCAAGATAATTTCTGGCATGTCAACCTCAAATTGTGATGGATAATAGTCTGTCGACTGAACCGTCATGCTCCTTTGAACAATTCACGCTGAGATACTTTTAGTAACATTGCTTTTGCAGTACATTGGCTTAGTAAAGCTTCTATGATCATGTAATTGAAACCATGGTTAGCTATGAACTTTAGATCCAAAGTGCTTTTTCTTTAGTTGAAGACGATATCGTGTGGTCTATTTGATATAGCACTTGATATAGAGTCAAATAATCTGCATTTGAGAAACCTCTACAAGTCAAGTTTCAATAAAAGCAAAATCCAAAGAAGTTTCCAAAGTTTCCCACAATATACTGCAGCATGTCTGACAATACTCATTCTTTATAATTATAAAGCACGAAGCAAAATGGCCAAACAAGTCCTGTTATTCCGTTTGTCTTGAAAGGATAAGAAGATCGTAATAAGACAACATTAAGGTCAACTCTTCAATTTTCAGGATCCATCTTGGTTCTTTCGTTACCGCAATTCCATTAGACAGGATCATATTACCCCAGTCAGCAAAAGGTAAATGAAATCTTTCCTCTTGTGGTTGTGTATATAACACAAAACCAATGATACACATAAACCTATTTAGGATCTTCGAAACATAGCCAAGTGATACCCAATCCATTTGAAAGTAGTTCCTATTGCATCCAGTTATTACCAATTTGATGGTAATTTAGAAATCCCACAGACCTCCATGAAATGTTTTTTCAACGAACATTATAGCCAACCAAATCAAATATGAATTATGTTCCTTCCCAGAATAGGTTCAGAATAAAAATAACATTAATAAATTCAATGTATGAATAGGCTGAATTATGTTCAGTCTCAATGCTGATGTTCCAGAAACTGTTAAATGTTTCGCAGATGAAACTTCCATAGTCATTCATGAGCAAAATCAAAAAATGAAAAAGCAGGCTTCAATGTTACAATACTATTTTTAGAAACCAATGTACACCGAAGAAAATTGTCTCCGATCAGAAACAATGAAAAATGTGTATAAGCAATTTTACCATATTTTGATGTGAAAGTGAATGATATATACAATGAATGTAGTCACCTTGTTTCTTCTCTTGCTTAGCTTTAATTTTTTCTTCAACTGTTCTTCTGAAATGATCAGCCTCTGATTCATCAGCAAAATTTAAACCTGCTCTACAGTCCTGTAAAAAGGGATTTGATTATAAAATGAATGATTGACAATTTGCCAATAAAATCAGTCTCTTCATATTCATGAAAAAAATATCCAGATTAGTCAGACAAGTTATTTCCACATCCTAGGTCATTGTTTCTCAACCAAGGAAACTATTATTACTAATATTCTTTGCACATTCAATATTATTGTAATACGCATGTTTTACTAAACAATGATCCATTGAAATTGAACAACAAACAGGAACAGTTTTAGAAACAGAGTAGTAAGGGGGAATTAAGAGTTTTAAAATAGCAAAGTAAGGAATGTATCAAAAAAAAACTGTACTAGGTTATTAATTGAATATAAAGACCTCTATGATAAATATAAAGAAATATTTTAAATTTCTTCTTCAAGTAAACTTCTATGCTTAACAGAATATGACATTGTGTCTGGATGTATAATGAATGAGATGCAAATAGTATCAAAGTTCATTATATCAAAAAAAAAATAGATACGGTAATGACATTCGAATCCAATACCCACTTACAATAACTTACGTTAGTATCAAATGTATGAAAATATTGTCGAGGTGTTGCATATTTAAACTGGTTGTATAACTCTTGTTCAAATATCATCTGATCAGTCTGAAGAAAATAAGAATAATATTAATAAAGGACTTGGAAAATATCATATGTTTTGATTTCATTCTCAGATTTCAGAAAATTCAATTTTCATTATTTATATAAGATCTGTAGATCTCCTCTCTGAAGAAAAATTGGTGCTCCAGAAGTATGTGTATTGTGTACCAATATGGAGGTAACTACGGTAATTTTGCTCGCCTACTTTACATCAAGTTGTGTAAAGGGACGGAAGCCTATGGGCAGGGGGTATATTCACTTGGCTAACACACACAGTACCCAAACTAAGGGAAATTGGAATAAAATTATGGTCTCTTAACTCTAACCTGGTACACATACTACGGGAGTACCGATAGTATGATAAATACTGTTTTTTTGAAATACCAATTCACTTCACAACAATTCATAAAATTTTGGTTCTGATTCTACAAGAAAATTTGTTTTTGGTATAATAGTTTAGTATAGATGATTATGTCATGCCTTCATGAGGTGACGTTCATGTCATGATTAGAACATCGATTTCATTACAGTCTTAGTTGAGATTAAACAAATGAAATTCCCCCAAAGGTGTTCACTTCAGTTTTTGAAAATTCCATTTTGTTTTGCATTTCCTTGTCAAGGGGATGCAACCAGGACAGTTGCATAAATATGCCCTAAATATAGACCATATGATAATTGATCAAGGGAGACCAATGACTAAACGTGAAACATCACAGTAAAGATTGCTTCTATATTAAGAATGCACAATCAACTATCCTTGTACGCCAATTGTCTTTAACAAATGCCTGTGATCGTGATATGCATTGTTTCAATATGTAACAGTAACTTCCTGTCAATATCGTGGTAATGTGTATGACATCAGAATACTCCACACAACTGGACACACGATGACTCAACCCAATATAGATAAAAATATCACAATGAAGTGCAGTTAGTTACTCGAATCATCCCTAAGTAAAAAATGGCAGACAGCCTGTGAGCGAATTCCATGCTTTCAGACTGACCTTTGTATGTTTATTACAAGCATATATTCGATAAAATTTATCACATAAGTTATTTACAAATGAAGAATTGCCTATGATACGCAAAATTACAATTTTGATAACGTATATCGCGAGGAAATTTCATATTTACCCCAGCAAGAGGAAAACCTATAAGACGAATTATTTATATGGCGAACCACGGCCTTTAGTCCAGTTACCAGTCCATGTCGGATATGGAAATAGCTAACCTGTTGTTTCAGATGCCTGGACTTGGTGGTAAAAGAAGCCGTAACCAACCAGCAGTTATGTGAAACACCATACGACAGGTTTGGGGATAGGTCCAGCAATCCTCTTGCACATAATCAACCCCCATAGTCAGTACGAACCTGTAAACCCAGCTGGGTAAGGGTAATCAGAGATAATCAGCCTAACACTTAGTATGATGAGCCCATTTCAAAGCCGAATGTATAACTCTCAGTATCAGTAAGATAAGGCATAAAATCATGAATGATATTATAGAATACTTGAACAATATATTTTGAACTTACTGCAATATTATAAACTCTAATATAATATGAACGCCTTGGATTATCTTTGATGAAACAACATACACCAGTTCCAACCTTGTTCCATCTTGAATTATGTTGTGCCAGAAAGACTTGAACCACTCCTGTGGATAGTGTCTGAATAAAATTTAAAACATAATAAATTTTAAGGCAAAAACAGGAATTATTAAGAGTTTACATTTTCAAAAGAATTTTTCACAAATGTACGCTAAGGTAGTGAAAAACTGATAACATAAAATTTTTTTCGATAAATCACATTTTCTCTTCAACTATTGGAATATTATTAAACATTGAGATGCATTCATTACTCAAAGTATATTTTTTCATAAAATGAGCTATTATTCCCCTCGTAATTGAATTGCTTAGACATCCTTGACATACCCAAGAAACAAAAATGATTCCTTGGCGAAAATAAAAAAAAGTCCACAATTACAATTGTTTTGATTTGCAGCAAACTGAAGCAAAAAATAACAATAATATTCCAAACAGTAGCCTACTATTCAAAAATGCTATATAATGGTTACATCATAATCAAAAATATCATTGGAAAATCATTCTTATACAATATACATGACAGATCAAGATCAAATTATAAATCAAACGTGGCTGGATGCTGAGTAATGATGTAATAAAACATGTCAACTTCTGCTTAATATTGCTTGCATGAAATGACTATTAAAATACTCAAGTGACAGACAAGGTAGTGTCAATAAATCAATAGATTAGCTTATTTCTTTGTGAACAATATGCAACAATACGTAGAAATGGACTCTAAAACTGTCATGGGATGGCCATGCCAGATCAACAATAATTTGACAGCTGTTCAACGTTAAACACATTGTTTGGTATTAAAAGTTAGTTAAAAACATTTTTTTTTTGAACCAATGAGTTAGACACTATTCTAAACTTTCAATTTAGTTTTGGATTACAAGAAATAATAAAATCCAGAAAATCTTCATTGCAAAAAATAATTACAGGAATCTGGCCTGGCAACAATATATGTTTAGTATAGGGCTCCAGATGCTTAACCATAGCTGAAGCTTTCTCTTATCTCCAGAAGTTCACCCCATCTCTGGAAGCTTTAAATACCACCACAGCTTGGATGAAGTTTCAAAACACTGTACTGAAGCTCTCCATGCTCAAAAGCTTTGCCATAGTCTCAGATGTTCCCCCATACTATAGCTTCTGACTATGCATACCATTTGGATCCATTGACTATCAAAACTCAAAGTGATTGGGCAAAGAATGTCCCCACACAAATATGCAAATTTTGCTCGAGCATAATGAGGTCTAATTCGGTAATCAGTGCACTTATCACAAAAAAAATATATTCAAAGATAATGGTTGAACTCTACCATATACATACCGAACATTTTTTTCCGAGCATGCTAAAAACTCTATCATTCTCATGATCACTCAATAAACATGATTTGTGATTAACAGATGGTGGTCGACTCCTTCTTTGAGGTGGAGGGTTAGGAGGATAACTCATTGTTAAATATATGTAACAACTGTAAAATGTTCAATTAGAATTGATTCGAAAATATAACAGCAATAAAGTCTACTTTAACATACATAATAAAAATCAGAGGTGTGCTCGTAGAAAATGACACTTATAGCAAAGTGAAACAAGCACTTTTCCAAATATTAAAATATCATTTTGTATCATTCTTGAAGAGATAAACATCAAGACAATAGAGGCTTTAAGGATGGAATATATGTTATATTAGGGCATCAGGAAAGAAACAGAAAAAATACTTTCCAACTTCACATGATTCAGCCCATCAAATCAAAAGGCAAATTGTTGTGAAAAAGTTTATTTATTTCAAAAAGTAAAGGAAATAGATTTCACAGCAACAAGATGTTGATCTCCACTTTGGCAATTATAAATGCAGGTCATTGGAAAGGACCGACTAGTAATTGCTCAAAACTTGGTATTTGCATTTGTATCAGTCAGGTATGCACATAGTTAAATCATGTTGCTATACAAACTGACCAAATGGAAAAATAATATATTGGCAGAGTTATATGCCGATGCATGAAAAGGGGTAATGTGTGTGAGTGAAAAGTTTTGTTTTGCTGTATTTCATAAAAAAATGAATTTGTCCATTTTTGTTATTGCTTTCAAAGAGGTGAACGTGATACTCAAATACTTCACGACCCACTAGCAATAGTCGAAAAACATAGGTTGAGGAACACTACTCTAGGTATGATAATTCACAAAGTGACTCTTTTTCGATTTGCTATATTACACAAACAATTTTAAATGAAGTGGAGGCGAACGTAAAATTCCAACATATGGTGTAATCGGTACAAATCCTAGCTATACGCATTGGACGCCAGATAATCCCATTAGAACATTAGACACAGATAACTTTTTACAGTCATTAAAAATATTTTGATACTCCATGAATAAGCATTTTTTGGGGTCTCGTGTAGTTTCGTACCTAACGTACTTCTAGTAGGCGTAGCATAACAATTTTTTAACATGCCAATCCTAACCCTCACCTGACTACGCCATCCAAAAATTACGTCACTACGATGTCACAATCACCTCATAGAGCTTGCCAAATACTCGTACGATTGCCCGAAATGGCATCGCCGCCGCCGATAAAGAACTGACTAACGTCAGCGATTTTTCTCCTATCGGGATCGTTGCGACAAGAAAACGAGAGAAATGACTGTTCGATTTCGGGTTCTCGTCTGCGTGTCTTGGATGACAGTTCGCATAGTTTGAAAGGCTCTAATACATCACTGTGACGTCGTAGTGCTGTCATTTTTGGATGGTGTGGTCAGGTGGGGGTTCGAATTGACACGTGAAAAAATTGTTATGCTACGCCTACTAGAAGTACGTTAGGTACGAAACTACATGAGACCCTTTTTTTTTATTGCATCATGCGCCGGTAGTGAGCTTTATCTTTGCACTCGTGTTGTATGGGTTGAACCATCAGTGCGCCAAAAAATAGCCTACAGCTTGTAGCCATGTTACATCTTTTTATTTTATCTGTATACGGTATCTCGCTTCCTTGAATTAGATTGAGATCGAAAGCTACAACCTGGAGAAACCCCACAATTTTTTAATTTATTAATCGGGTCTGGTATAGTTTGAGTACCACATGCACTTCTAGTTAGCCTGACTCAACAATTTTTGCATATGTCATTCCTAACCCCCACCTGACTACCGGTAAGTCACCAAAACATTACGACGTCACGGTAGCGGTAATAAGTCCCTCCAAAGTACAAACTGACGTCCAAAACGTTCACCCAAAATCAAGCAAGCTATTTCTGTATTTATCTCATTTTCACGTCGCAACAATCTCGATACAGCGATATGAGAGAGATCATTAGTTCGTTATCAGTGGCGCAGATGTCAGAAGCTATATACCGTAACGCAATTGTGATGTTGTAGTGACATAATTTTTGGATGGTATAGTCAGGTCTGCAGGTGGGATTTAGGAATAACATGTGCAAATTAGTTAAACTACACCCACAGACGGACGGACCCACTACAGCCCTTGTGCTACTAAACTTTAACGTTACAAATACAGCAATACCCAGTTAATCTGGCAGACTCTGAGTTCAGGAGTTGAGATTTCTGTACTAGCTTACACTGTAACAGAAATTATGAAAATACTTCTCCATTTCTCTGATCATGTCAGCAAGTAAACTGTAAAAGTAGTCATGGTGTTTCATATTGACCCAATCCTCTTGAATAATTAAATCCGGTCGGCATCGAGGTAAAGTACCGTACATAACTTTGGTAACTGGTTATTATACAATCCTTGCTGCTAAAACTACACAACATCTACTACAGCCTTTTTTGCCACACTTAAATCCATTGCCAAATTGGATTTTTATGAAAATGATGGTTTTGGTTTATCCAAATATACCGTATTTCATTTTTATTGCGTGAGGCCCAAATTTTATTTTGTAATGTAATTTAGGTGATTTCATACAATGAATAAGTATACAATGCAAAGATAAGACAAATAATGACAAATATTGAATAATTCAGACCTATCTACTACAGCTTGAACAAGTCTGACAAGGAAATCAACCAAAATAAGACGAAGTGGTGTTGAGCGAAAATGGGAGTTTGGTGCGGTGTTGAGAGTCAGATATTTCATCAGAATCCGGGGAAATATTACGCGTGGCCTCGACGTAGTATCATAATCACTGGAAAGGTACATCGTACGCGCAATTTAGGATATGATTTACATATTTATCCCGGAAGAAAGGAAAACTAATGAGAGGACTTAACCATATGGCGAACCACGCCTCTCGTCCCGTTACCACATGGGCTTTGGTTACACTACCAACTTTCATAACCTTTGACCGATGCTGCCAGCACCATTTTTTCTGATGTTTAGGGGACGGTCGCTATCGCGCGCCTTTTCGGTACCGTGCGTTTTGACTTGTCGTACTTGCTTGGAAGACTGGAAAAGCGTGGCGTGTGTAGGTGTTGCTTTACCAGTATTTTTTATGTTACAGTTTAAATACAGATTAACTTAGAAGCATTGAAACTGCTTCGTTGCAGAGTGTAATCCTAACTGGGAAACTCCGACCTGTATTACTATGTTCCACTAAAAAAGGAGCTTTTGTCACATTATAAGAGCTTCCTCCGAACAGATGGAATAGATTAGAGGCGCTGGCAATGTGTCTGCTCATTGCACTGGAGTGAACCAAGACGAAATTCACAACATTTGCCTGATATTAGGGTGCCTACTGGTCCTAGACAAAGGAGGAGTGCTAGAGACCGTAGATCTGTAAAAAGAGGTGCAAGGCAAAGTAGGCACAACAAACTACTACAACCTCGTGAGATCTTGCAGAATGTCAAGGAAAGTCTAAGTGCTACAGGGGTGGTGACTCCTCTACGACCCATGGGCCGGGGCCACGGCCCATCTAATTGGGCCGTGGTCATCAAGCTATGGGCCGCGGCCCCGTCAGGAAAAATTCAATTATCATACCAAAATTTTCTATTTTTACAAAATTGTCAATATTCGAACCAAAAAATAAACTCCTGTAGTATGTGTACCAGGTTAGGGTTAGGGCAAATTTTGTTCAGATTTTTGGACACGTAGTGGACATAACGATCGTTTCAATATTATGTTGTTGTTGTTCTTGTTATCCTTGTTGTTGTTCTTGTTCTTTGACACGTTTTTAAAAAGTCGCTTTTCTCTTCGAATACTGGACCAATTGCTTTGAAATTTTCAGTGGTTGAAGATAAAATTTTTCTCCAGAAGGCTATTACTTTTTTTTTCGCTATGACGTCATCAAAATTATTGCCATTGGGTGGCGCTACGTGTCCATATATTTGAGCATAGCTCTCTTGTTTACATTATAGTTCTATTATGAGTTTGGGGACTGTTTGTGTTAGCCAAGTGAATAGTTTCTTTACACAACTTGATGGGCCGCGGCCCATAGCCTGATGGGCCGAGGCCCAATTCGATGGGCCGCGGCCCATAGCCTGATGGGCCGAGGCCCAATTCGATGGGCCGTGGCCTCGGCCCATGGGCCGAAGAGGAGTCACCACTTCCACTCTCTAAGTGAGGCGAATGGAGAAATGCTACTCTTCATGTTCACCTTGGTCAGCAGGTCACTGAAAATGAATTACTTGTCCGTGAAAATTTCAGATTGAGAAATATGATAGAAAAGCTAAAGAAGGAGTTGAGGAAAAGCGAGAAAATGATAAATTTGGAACAGAGAAAGGTTGAAAAAATAATGGAGAACAAATGGTAGTTTAGCTGGGACAGTGTGACAGAAAGTTATTTCAGGTATTTCACAGGCATGAGTCGAGACAGTTTTGAGACTTTGTTTAGCTGCTTTGAGCCATACCTACACCTAATCAAATATCAATCGTGTGTTAGCAATAAAAGTTGCAAGCGGAAAGTTAGTAAAAAGAACGAGCTCTTCACAACTCTATCCATCTGCAGACATGCTTTGCAATTGGAATTTGCCGGCTGAATGCTCAAGGTTTCGGTCTCAACAATGTGCAGAATTTTTGAAGCATGGATAGTGTTTAACGATGCACTTTTTAGTATGGTGGACTTGCAGCCTTCACATGAATTAATGAAAACAGTTATGCCCCCAATTTACCAAGAATTGGGATTCGGTCATATAACGCTGGTCTTGGATGCAACGGAATTCAAAACAAACCATTTTTCCGATTTGAATTTAAACACAAACTTTTTTTCGGATTACAAGCAATGTCATACTGTTAAAGCGCTTGTTTGTTTAGCTCCTCATGGTGCTTTAACAATGGTTCCAGATTTATATCCAGGATCTATCACAGACACAACTATAACACAAATAACTGGCTCACTTAGAAATTGCTTACTTCATGATGGAATATTAACCGACAAAGGTTCGTATTTTGAGTGGTTGTAGTTAGTTTTACATGCTTTATAAAAACTCACAATAAATTGGCAATGTCGACGACCATATATCTAACGAAAGCCCAATTTAGCGATGTACCAAATGAGGCCCACTCAAAGTACCTCTCCGGTGTGAGATAGAATTATAATCCAGTCAATTGAACGCATTAACATTTAGGTTCTATAAGCATATATCAAATTTAAACAGAGGGATTCTGTTGTTCAGGTTTTGCGATTAGTGAACTTGCTGCGGAGAAAGGTGCAGAGCACAACAGACCTCCACTGAAAACGGGAATCAATTTTCCGAAGGTGAATGTGATGACAATTACAAGATCGCATGTCTGAGGATTCATGTGGAAAGATGGCACGCATCACGGTTTATAAGTAGTACCTCTGGCTTATCCTAAGGAAAATTAGTAGATATGAAACCTATTGGTTTCGGCAATGATTCTACCATGCACATGATTTATATATAATTATCCCCATTACATGCATATATTAACATTCGTTTCTTTCTGTTTACAGTTATTATGAGCATTGCTGTTTAATAAATGTACAGTAAATGTCCCATGACTATTGATTCTATTTGTGTGTGAGTGATAGTTATCTATGCTCATAATCAAACGATGCCTTCTGTACAATGCCCATGGACCGGTTGTGAATAATCTATACCTGATGATGCAGACTACAACGCAGCAGTAGCCTTACTTCAGCTCCACAAGGAAGCCCTACACTCTGCTCCTATCAACCTGACTGTAAGAGTAGAAAAACCAAAACGTCCAACCATCGCACCGAGAGGCACTGCAGAGGAATGCACATATTTCTTACAAAGATGGAAGGAATATAAATGTGCTACAAGAATAACCGATCCTGATATTACTTATCAACTTTTAGACTGCTGTACTGAAGATTTGCGACGAGACCTCACACGAACATACTATGATTTATCGACATCAGATGAAAACACAATCCTAAAAAACATAATGTCTCTAGCGATCAGAAAGGAGAACATCTTGGTAGCTCGACTTCAACTACACAAGCTCCAACAAGATCGAGACGAGCCTATTCGAGCATCCGTGGCACGACTGCGTGGGCAAGCTAGCACTTGCCGCTTTCATGTTAAATGCCAATGTTACCCCCAAACACATGTAGACTACAGTAACGCCATGATTCGTGACGCACTTGTCTGGGGCCTCTATGATGACGACATCCGTCTTGATCTCCTCTCACAGGCCGACGAGGAAATAACTTTAGAGGAATCCGTCAAATTCATTGAGGCAAAAGAAAGCGGCAAACGCTCAGCACATCGCCTCACCGAACATGACACCGCTGCTACTATAAACAGTTCTTACCAGCGAAAGCAACGGGATAGGGCTCGTGACAAACGCTAATCCTGCGAATACTGTGGGAAATCTAAGCATGGAAACAACAAAGATCGTATTAAATCTTGTCCAGCATATGGCCAAACATGCTCAAGATTCGGGATCAAAAATCACTTTGAAAATGTATGCCGCCAACCTGAATGGAAATTGCGGCAACGGGATCGTAAGGTCTCTTCTTCCCCAAAACGAAAAGCTCACAATGATTCTGGAAACACTGACGACGCGGCCTCTATCCTTGCAACACTTTGCTCAGTAGATGACAGCTCTTCCCAGAGGCCAGAAGCGACACACTTGACCATCACATTCATAATGAACTGTGTGATATTTGGCAAAGAAGAGCCTTTGACCCACAGCCAACTGGTAATGTCTCAATCCGCCATGACCCATCTGATACTCGTCTCATTGGCTCAAGCCCTCACATTTCAAACCCAACACGTTCTGTCACATTCCTTGCCATAGCTGACACTGGCTGCCAGTCATGCCTCGCTGGCATCAATCTACTGGAAAAGCTGGGTCTTGGCCCACAGCATCTGAACCCAGTAAAATTGCAGATGAGTGCAGCTGACTGCCGTCGTATTCAGATTATAGGTGCACTTTCGCTGAGAATATCAGCTCCTTCAAGCGCGTCGATAATTGAAACACGCCAATTGGTATACTTCACTGACTCAACGAATAGGCTCTACCTATCTCAACAGGCTTGTAAAGCACTTGGCCTCATATCTCGATCCTTCCCAACAATTGGCGAACATAAAGAGAGCTACAGGTCTAAAACAACTTTGTCTCCCATACACACCGGGTCGGACATGGTCGCTCCTTGCGGATGCTCTATACGAGAACCACCTCCGTCAATCCCAACCTCGGCACCTTTTCCCCTCACCCACGAAAACCGAGAAAAGTTGGAAAATTGGATCCTCACTTATTACGCATCAAGCTCATTCAACGTTTGTCAACATCAACCATTGCCAAGGATGAATGGTCCTCCCCTACGTTTGATGGTGGATCCAGAAGCAAGACCGGTCGCCAACCACACACCAATCCCCATCCCCATAGACTGGCAAGATGAGGTAAAGGCAGGCCTGGACCAGGATTGCAGACTTAGTGTCATAGAACCTGTACCAATTGGTGAACCTGTTACATGGTGCCACAGAATGGTCATCTGCGCGAAAAGGTCTGGTAAACCACGCCGGTCAACCTCCAAGCACTGAATAAACACTCTACACGTGAAACACATCATACACAGTCACCATTCCATCAAGCTAGAGCGGTCCCACCAAACACTTTAAAGACAGTTTTCGACGCATGGAATGGATACCATGCAGTGCTCCTACATCCAAGTGACCGACACTACACCACCTTTATTACCCCTTGGGGCCGATATCGCTATTGCGTAGCACCACAGGAATACGTCGCATCAGGTGATCGGTATAGCCGTCGTTTTGACGAAATAGTGTCTGATATACACAACAAGACTAAATGTGTTGATGACACTCTCATATGGTCCAACGACACGGAAGAAGCATTCTTTCAAACAATTGAATGGCTAGACAAATGTGGTCGAAATGAGATTATTCAAAACCCCACCAAATTCCAATTTGCATCACCAATCGTAGCTTTCGCTGGCTTTGAGATCACACCAACAGCAGTTCGTCCTTGCTCGAGAACACTGCAGGCGATAGCAGATTTTCCAACCCCAAAAAACATTACAGACATTCGAAGCTGGACTTGTCAACCAGGTTGCATACGCTTTTGCGTCCACAAAACACATGCTACCATTCCGATCCCTCCTCAAATATAAAATATCATTTGTATGGACTAAACAACTTGACGACCTTTTTGAGCAATCGAAGGCTGTCATTGTAGATGAGATCAAGAAGGGCGTCGAGATATTTAACAAGTCAAGACCCACATGCCTTGTAACTGACTGGTGCAAAGACGGTGTTGGTTTCTGGCTAATGCAGAAACATTGCGAATGCACTTCAGCTAAACCCTTCTGTTGTAAAACTGGCTGGAAGATTACACTGGTTGGCAGTCGTTTCACCTCCGGGGCTGAATCCCGCTACTGGCCAATTGAGGGGGAAGCACTAGCCGTCGTGGACGCCCTTGACAAAGCACGACACTTTGTACTAGGCTGTTCAGATCTCATGATTGCTGTTGATCACAGGCCCTTAGTAAAGGTTTTGGGCGGTCGCTGCTTAAACGACATTGCCAATCCTCGCCTTCGCAATCTCAAGGAGAAATGTCTGCGCTACAGATTCAAAGTCGAACATTTGCCTGGCATTCGCAATGCCGCTGCAGACTCATTATCACGCCACCCAGTCAGCGAACCAAACATGTTGGAGCTTCCTGACGACGTTGACTCAGGCGCCATTTTCACCGCCATTTGCACATTCGACCCCGAAACAGCGGAAATCTGCTCTTATTCAACCGATTCCACAAAAGAAATCATCAAAAATGTGACATGGAATGACATACGGCTTGCCACAGCCAGTGACCCGTCAATGCGTTTTCTTATCGACAAAATCCAAGAGGGCTTTCCAGACCGACCAGCAGATATCCACACTGAAATTCGCCCCTTCCATCAATACCGTGACAATCTTTCAGAGGAGTTTGACGGTGTCTGTCTCAACAAGGATCGCGTTATCATTCCACCCTCCTTAAGAGATAGGGTACTCAAAACTTTACATTCTGCACACCAAGGAGTATCAACAATGTGCTGTCGTGCAGAATCCTCCTTTTTCTGGCCCGGTATGACTAATGCCATCATCAAGCTACGCAACAACTGCTCAGCTTGTAACAGAATGGCCCCCTCACAACCTAGTGCCCCACTAACTCCTCCTCTACAGCCAATGTATCCTTTTGAATGCCTGGCAGCGGATTTTTTACATACAGAGGCAAACACTATTTGGTGGCAGTAGATAGATACAGTAACTGGCCAATTGTTGAACAAGCGATAGGAGGAGCCGCTGGACTGATCACGACTTTGAGGCGAACATTTGTTACTTTTAGGATTAGACACCGATCATTTTCAACGAGCGATGGATGTGGTTTCACTTTACACAAATATCCCCCACAATAATGGTATAGCGTCAATGGAAAAATATCTTGATAAAATCAATAGTACAAAAAAAGAAATATTTTGAATATCAGAAGCAGCTGCCTTGGTTCTTAAGAACAACAACTTTGTTTTTGATGATAACTATTACCTTCGAATTCAAGGAACGGCGATGGGAACCAAATTTGCACCAAAATATGCTAATATTTTCTAAATTATTAGAGAAAACCCCTTTTAAACCAAAATATTATTGCCGCTCCATTGACGACTGTTTCATGATTTGGACGCATGGTAAAGAGAAACTTTTAGAATTTGTTAACTTAGCAAATTCATTACATCCGACCATCAAGTTTACTTTCGAATGCTCACCAAATAATATCACGTTTTTGGATGTCAAAGTTCACATCATTAAGGACAAATTAGAAACTGAAATTTTTAGCAAAGAAACAGATTCACACCAATACCTTTCACCATCTTCGTGTCATCCTGAACATATTACAAAAAATATTCCCAAAAGCCTTTTCATCCGAATACGAAGAGCTTGTTCAACTAACGAGTATTTCGATGAGCATGCAGAATTAATGATGGAGAGAAATTATAAAGAAAATTTAATTGACAATGCCGTCCAGTTTGTAAAAAAATTAGATGGACAACTTCTTTTAACTCCCAACACGGAAAGTAAAAATGAAACTTTGCTCCCTTTTATTACAACCTATCATCCAACCTTACCAAATGTTCGAAAAATCTTTTCCGACTACCAATACATTTTAAACAATAACGAGAGATTGAAAGAAATTTTTCCAAATCCACCCAAATTAGCTCACCGAAAATGTCCCACACTCAGAGATAGGCTAGTCAGAGCCAAATTAAAGCCAAAATCACCTGTCAGCAACAATCCAGGTTTTTTTAAATGTGGAAGACAGTCATGCAGTACCTGCGAACATTCTGAAGAAACAAAAGTAGCGACAAACAAACAAAAAACTATTCAACTAAAAATTACTCAAAAAATAACGTGCAATACGGAAAACGTCGTCTACTTGATAAGCTGTAAAAAATGTAACATGCAGTACATTGGCGAAACAGGGAGGCATCTGAAATATCGTATTTCAGAACACATTAGAAGTATAAAATCAAAAAACAGAGACCTGGTCGTCGGTGCTCACTTCAACCAACCTGGACATTCACTGTAAGACTTTAATGTAATTGGTATTGAAAAACTGTTTCAAGACCATATTTACCGAAAAACTAAAGAATCATATTTCATTCACCTACTTGGAACGCATGAACCATTGGGAATGAACATTAAAGAAGTTTGGGGCATTTAGGAACATTTTATTCCTCGTATATTTTCGTAATTTTACCGAATTTTTTATTTTTATTCATTTTTTTCCCCCCATGTATTTTTTTAGTGCAGTTAATTAAAATACAATCACCGATTTATTTATTTTTCAAATCCCATGTTGCCATGACACCCATTTTATGAATGTGCATGAAACTTTCATGTGTTTTTCAATTTTAAATATTTAAACTTAGTGTTGTTAATTAAATTTTCAATCACCACCTGCATGAGTTCGTTAACTCACATTGTTATGATATTGTTTTGTTGCCATGGCACCCATTGTATAAATATGCTTGCAATTGCTGTTCTTGCTTTATTTGAAATATGTATGTCTGAGGAAGTTTGACCGTGGTCAGACGAAACGTTACAGAAATATATTTGTGTTAGTGTGCAGCAAGACTATTTATTGAATTACTCAGGATAGTTATCTTCACTCTTGCTACAGCATCCTTGCATTATATGCATACGGATGCACCGACGCAAAAGCATAGAAAACGGAAAAGTAGTTGGTCTTGTAGAAACCCAATCGATAGCACAAATTGATATTTAAAGTCATAATTTTTATTATAACTTTCTACATGCTTGCTCCAGATGCAGAAATAAATGTTTCTACATTTTTACATTAGTATGCAAGGTGTGTTAGGGTTTTCTCGCAGCGAATATTGATCTTGCACAAAATCCTGGCGATTACAACAATTTTAGACGAACCCAACAAATGATATTGCTTTATATTGTGAGGCAAGCAGAGCATTCGGAAAAATTCTCTTTCTTTTATCAGCAGCTATGTACCTAGGACTGGCTGCTTGCGTAGCAAAACCATTGTAAATAGCAGCAAGAAGTTTTTTTCGCATATTGACCCATCAAAAAGCTATTTAGATGATATGATTTAATGTCAATGATCTAAAGACACAAAGTTTAGTACACCAAAGTCTCAGCGATCTTATAAACTCTTGAAGTTTGGCACGATGCACTTATTTTCCTCCCAGAGTTTAATGTGCAGATCATCTGATGGTTCCCACCGTCGTTGGAGGGAGATGGGTTGGCCAGACTTCATAGCAACAAGCACCATTTCCAAAATTGTAATTAACTCTGCATCGTAGCAAAGCAGAAAATATGTTGATGTTCTTGTCTCAGGGTGGTATGACACTAGTACAGTGCTCTTCAACCGGGTATACGGTATACCCAAGTGTATACCCGACCATAAGTTGGGTATACAACTGATAAAGGGTATACGAAAGGTGTACAGCCTATAAAATATTCAATTGGATACAACAATGCAAACGCGGCGCACATGAAATGTAAAATGTTATTAACGTTGAGAACCGACGTGAGCACGTTGTTACATCACAATTTATATAGATAATACGGGCATGTGTCGAACATTATTCCCGTCGACGCTAAGGCAGTCAGTCAAATTTATAACTTGCGGTCACTAGCCTATTAGATTGCATGATGATATTGCAGTACAATATGTGCTTAAAATTTATTGTTTATTTGAGCCTTAAATAAACATTGGTATTTGTAAGGTATACAAAGTTCTTGAAAACTGTAAAAGGTATACTTCGATAAAAAAGGTTGAAGAACACTGCACTAGTACACACCTTGTAGCATTCGCACAATGCATTTGGACTTGAGTCTGTATGACATGAGTTTTGTCCACCTTGCTAAGTGGGCCATCTTGTTGAGCTGCTCGAGTCAAAACGACAATATAGTTTTTGTGACAGGTAATGCCATCAGGACTCGCCCCAAACACACCACGAGAGAAAAATTCACATTCTTCACACGAAATATCTGAAAGTGAACGACAAATTAAGTCACTAATTATTTAATAGGGCATAATTGTAGATAAAAAAAAAACAATACCAGCATCAATTGCAAATTTGTTCCTTGCTATCGATTCATGTTCAATGCCACGACGAAAATTCTGAAAGTTTTTTTCTCCCCATTGATCCTGTTTAATGAGTAGAACGTATTATATTTTGAAAATGTCTGTATCAGAAATGACAGCCTTCATAAAAATACCGAGCTTCAATATTGGCTAGTTTAGTGATTGAGATATCTGACGTGACTGTCGATAAATAGGACAATCGTGCTAATCGAATAAAATGACCCGGTTATTAAAGTACACCACTACATGCTGTTTTTGATAAATTTTATCCCCGACACAAAGTTTTGCTCGGGGAAAGTAAATATTTTTCATTAAGATTTTAAACCAGGCTAAATACTTTTATATATACTCTGGATTGAATTACACGGGGGACAAACACGAATTTCTCGCGACATCAGGTTGCTTGGGTTAACGTCATCTCTGTTGTGTTGCGGCTCCCCATATTCACTTACCAAGTACTCACGAGTGAAACAACTAACCACATCATTGATAAGTTAAATCTGCGCAATTTTAACTACATTAGTAGTGTCATAGCGACCCACCATATCCCAAGCGTAATGAAACAACTATTCGGGGCAGGGGTGTACAACCTTTCTCTATGTTTTTGTAGGACTACGGTCACCAGCGATATTGAGGTCATTTATGAGCTATATTCAGTTTGATAATTTTTTTATTTATTTATTGATAGATCTCATTGACTTGAGTCTAACTCTCATGAAATATTAAAATTTAACCGGATTTACTGAATAAAAGTTTCTAGAGTTGGTCACATATTTTACCGAATCGAATGCTACATATCACGGTCAGAAGTCGTCATTAACTGAGGATTTCGAAAAACGCAATAAATTGTACTGTATAGGGCATAGGCAATGCCGAAATCGGAAAGATTCTACTGCTTACAAATAATAATCGATTCGTTACGTATCAGCGCTGCTGCCTGCTAGTGTAGAGTCGTGTTTAGAGCGAAAGGCGTGTGAGCGTCGTATAAAAATATCCCATCTGGATAGTTTTCCTCCAGAGAGACGTGGAAGAAAGTTTACAACTATTACGGTTGATGATATTTTCTATTCTTAATCAAAAACTGCGACTACCCCCATGATAGCCAAGCGCTCAAACATAAATTCCCCTATTAATTCAATACCTTTGTGACAAGATGGTGACGTTTCGAAGATTTATGAACGAGAGCACATATGTCAACTACACCACACAGATCAATAAAGAACTTTCAGGCAATTATTAATTTGCAAGTATCCATTTCACAGATAAAACATTCACCCGACTATGTCCACATACTTAGTAAATATAACCAAAAGCCAAAGTTATTTATGGCATCAATCCCATTATCTTTATTTAAACCTTTAAAAACACATTTTAAAAGCATAGAACTACAATGGCTTTTATTCATTTAATACTCTTCTTCTCCTTCCTCGGCCTCTCCCTCGACGGAGTCGACACCAACTTCTTCGTAATCTTTCTCAAGAGCAGCAAGATCCTCACGAGCTTCCGAGAATTCTCCTTCCTCCATACCTTCACCAACATACCAGTGGACGAAAGCACGTTTGGCGTACATGAGATCGAATTTGTGGTCAAGACGAGCCCATGCTTCGGCGATAGCGGTGGTATTGCTCAACATGCAAACGGCACGTTGTACCTTTGCCAAGTCACCGCCTGGAACAACAGTGGGAGGTTGGTAGTTGATTCCAACTTTGAATCCGGTTGGACACCAGTCGACAAATTGGATGGTTCTCTTGGTCTTGATGGTTGCAATAGCAGCGTTGACATCCTTGGGGACAACGTCGCCTCTGTACAACATACAGCAAGCCATGTATTTGCCGTGACGTGGATCGCATTTCACCATCTGGTTGGCAGGTTCGAAGCAGGCATTGGTGATTTCTGCAACTGAAAGCTGCTCGTGGTAAGCTTTCTCCGCTGAGATAACCGGTGCGTAGGTTACCAGAGGGAAATGAATACGTGGGTATGGCACCAAGTTGGTCTGGAACTCTGTAAGATCGACGTTAAGAGCACCATCGAATCGGAGGGAGGCGGTGATGGATGACACAATTTGTCCGATCAGACGATTCAAGTTGGTGTAGGTTGGTCGCTCGATATCCAAATTACGTCGGCAGATGTCATAAATGGCCTCATTGTCAACCATAAAAGCACAGTCGGAATGCTCAAGTGTTGTGTGGGTGGTCAGAATGGAGTTGTATGGTTCCACAACCGCTGTTGAAACCTGTATACAAAACGAAACTCAGGAAAGATGCAAACTGGTTTCACCAATAGGACATTCTAAATTCTCTGTATTCAGGACTGTTATAACATTTCTATTTTCAGAATTGATTTCATATACATTTACGAAGGATTCAATAATTCGAATACACAAACCTGAGGGGCAGGGTAGATTGCGAATTCAAGCTTGGATTTCTTTCCGTAATCAACTGAAAGACGTTCCATAAGCAAGGAAGCGAAACCAGATCCAGTTCCACCACCGAAAGAGTGGAAAATCAAGAAACCTTGAAGACCAGTACATTGATCTGCAAGTTTGCGAATGCGATCAAGGACAAGATCAACAATTTCTTTGCCTGAAAATAATTAAAAAATTGTGTCAAAGGTTGAGTTCAGGGCTGCTTGATGATTTGAAGATTTTAAACCTACCAATCGTGTAATGTCCTCTAGCATAGTTGTTAGCAGCATCTTCTTTGCCTGTGATGAGTTGTTCTGGGTGGAAAAGTTGTCTGTATGTTCCAGTTCGTACCTCATCTGAAAAATACAGTAATTCAATCGATTATTATAGCATTCTTCCAACTTAGATGACAAAATATTAAACTAAAGCGTGTAAGTATTATGAAGCGGGCAAATGAAAATTACTTACCGACTACAGTAGGTTCTAAGTCGACAAAAACGGCTCTTGGGACATGTTTTCCTGCACCAGTTTCACTGAAAAAGGTGTTGAAGGAATCATCTCCACCTCCGATGGTTTTGTCACTTGGCATTTGACCATCAGGCTGGATGCCATGTTCCAAGCAATAAAGCTCCCAACAGGCATTTCCGATTTGTACACCGGCTTGTCCAACATGGATTGAGATACATTCACGCTATAAAGCACAAAGAGTATAAAATTAGTGACTGAAAGTCCGGACGCTTGGGGCTGAATTTAAGAAAAACCAAAGCGAAAAGTTACACACGAGTGTAGAATATGCTGTTAGTGTTATGCCGCGCATTTACAATTCTGCGCGAAAAACGACAAACACAGGAAACGACGATCTTGCGCAATATGGCATACATTCAGACATTACGTCACGCGATAATGACTAGGCTACATTCCTGAAACATTACAGCGCCAGACCATGATACGCGTGCTTGCCTCGAGGGAAAATCAGGCGTGTTGACGACGAAACGACGGCTGGAAGGCGTAAGTTAGCCTATTGTCAATCGCAACATCAGAGCATCCATTTGACAACTTAGCGTTATTATATAGATATAGTTAACGTTAATTTACATCCATATGGGATTTAGAATGAACGGTATAAATCAGCCTGCATGTCACAAGACACGACAGCGCATTCAAAAAGTTAAAATTCAGGCGTAAAACAGCCGCCGTTAAAATGGAAATGTATTCAAATAAACATTGAAATTAATTCATAATTTAATTATATAACGTAATAATCTACAATGTACTCACCATTTTGATTGATTTTTGTGAAGAAGAGAAGGGAAAACTGCAAAATCACCGAAGTACGCGACAGCAAAGACACGTTACGAATCTTTTCACTGCGAGTGTGTGCGCGAAGGCGGGAAACACGGGTATTTATAGAACGAGGATGTTTGACGTCACTTAACTCGCATCTGATTGGCTTGTTGTTTCACGAGCCGTCGCGTCATTGGTTAATACGGAAGAAAAAATGCATTCGCGAATTTTTCAAATTTCATCTGCTCGTCGTTATGGTTCCCTAGAGACGATCGATCTCATTGGTTTTCTCTCTAACAAACCTGTGCAATTTTTTTGTGACGGAACAATGTTCCAGACAAAGGAATGACGAGGGACAGAACAAAAATAAAATATTGATCGCCCCATCCTCGGTCGCCTGGTGCCGGTATTTGACTTTCGGTAATAAGTAATTCATGAAGCACCCACTTGCGCAATTGCGTGTCAGAACTTGTAGGTCCTGTAAATAGTCTATATACATACCAGAACTGAGTACACACTCCAACACCATGCGATGCGCAAATCTTTTGTGTCTCTATGTTCGTAACAAGAAACCTGGCATGTGAATTAGTGATTTATCGGGCGAGGTCGTGTAATGGGCAAACAGACTCGCCTGAATAAACTGAGTTTTCTAGCCTCTTGGAAAGAAACGAGAAATTAACTATGAGCGGGCTGTCTATCATTTGTCGTGTCCACAATCCTCATGAGAATTAACGAGGAAACCATGTTACACTTGGCACACCATGGTATATTGTTCCCGCTAAAGCAATCGATTTCGACATCAGAGGCAAATGACAGCCATTGAAATGTCCCTTGGGGTAAAATTCTATCGTTCAATTGTACAGTGCCCACGAGATTTGTGCATGTGGCTTTGGATTATTTGATGAATAATTTCTTATCGCTTCTTCATTCTTTACCAAAATGTTGTTATATTTTCAGGCATCGGCTCGTCGATATTATCCCACCGAAAACCGTGTTTGTACTAGGTTACAGCGAAATCACCAGCTTTTCCTTTGCTCGCGGGAGGCAAGTAGATCCGGGATGTAACATTTCATTTAAAGGACGACATACAAAGAGATACAAATGTCCGCAAGGTCGGAATGGTATTTACAACGTTGTCGACACGAGACTAATTTGTTTGGATTTGCTTCTTATGTTACAAAAGACACGTCCGACACAAAAGAAGTGTATCAAATTAAAAGGCGTAGGAAGCCAATTTTATTTTATTATGCCGCCTATTAAATTTAATATCTCCCGGACAAGCAGAGCTTTGCGCTTCTATCAACATTATCCGACAACATATTACAAGACAACATATCCGACAACATATTACATATTACAACATATACAGTTGTCGCTATTATGCTAACATTTTTAAATTGATGGGGTAAAATTGCCACCGTTTTTCAATTTAGAGAAATGAGTAACCTTGTTCTAATCATTCCCAATCGATATTTTATAGTCCAAGCAGTCAAACACAAAACCACAACAAATTCTAGCATAATGAAAAGCACTTAATAAGATGTGATTCCGTACACCAGGGGTCGACAACCTACGGCTCGTGGAGTAATATAATCGATATTTCAAGAAATAAAACGTACCAAAATTTTTTATTTTTCCAAAAGCTAACTTATACTCTTATATCGCGATAATTTGTACCATACTGGGTTCGATATAATAAAATAATAGAGAGGTGGCTCATTGTCAGCAGCAGTGAATTGTACCGCATATTGGCATTTAAGATTTGTGAATAAAATCTCGAGAATTATGGACGGATATTTTATATATATCTATATCGAAATGTTAGCGCCAAATGATCAATTGAGTTGAATTTGCGTAAGATTTCAAAAATCAATGCATCAAATTCTCCGTTGCTGATAGTTTGTTTTTACGGTATGACAACATAAATATTTCACGAGTTATCGATCGGCTATTTATCCCAAACCCAATGAAAATATGGATTTTCGTCTATTCCATTCCGTTGCTTAAAATACGCTCGAGTTAAACTTTGGCGACTGGGATTTAATTGATTAACCAAGTTATTTATCAAACGCGTCCTACTTAATCAACCATCTGCTCAGTGTTATTCTAACGAGCCACTGCGGTAATTGAAAAGAGTTTTACTATTGTTTGTGGGCATATGGCAAATATAACAACGTAACAAATATTCAGTGGGTTTATTAGGTTGTTAGTTTCGTAGACGAAATCTGTTGACTTTCGCGTTGTAGAACGTGATCGTTGCCCTGGAAACGAAAAAGTCCTTCGTAACTAAATAGCTTGTATGTGCTTGTTATGCTGAGACTTCCATGCCCCATAGCGAGAATTATACTTGTGAATTGAACAAATGAAATAAATCAACACCAATTCAATCCTGTTCTCAATACATTTACCATTGGATTAATAAATAGAAATATATATGGGAATTTCGAATAAACTGTTTTTCACAATACAACATCAATCCTACATGTCCGTTCCACAACCGTTTTAACCGTATTCCTTCAGTAGCATCGTAATCTGAATGCCCGGTAGTTGGCATTTGAACATTAACATCAAAGATTCTGGATATTTTTGGGTTGGACACAAGATCCATATAATTGGGTGCTGAAAGAATGGCGTATCGGTGTAAATGTAATTTCATGCCTATCCAGTTACAGCAAACAAAAACTCCATTGCTCATTCTGAGCACCCCACAAAGAAGCACTTATATTCAACGAACCACTTATAACAAAGGTCGCATGTGCCACTTAATTATAGTGTGATATTTAGAGCTTTATATTTGAGATCGTGAGCATTCTTGAATTGACGTAATCATATTAAGATTTTACACGTAGCCCTTGAATGAAATTCAAACACAACTTATTAATATTCAGGTAGATTGAATAAAAATAACCCAATTGTTAAAGACGATCTTCGCGGGAGTTTTTTAAGCACCATTGTCTAGCTCTAATTACCCACCAGCACCGACAGAGATTTTCGATTTCAGTCGTGTGGCGACGAGTAACAACGGACAATAACGCTCTTCAATTTTTTGATCAAAAATAAAAAGATAATCGGATTGATTAGCTTCGTCCAATTGATAGAAAGGATATATGCTACTGAATAATCTGATTTGCTTGCATAATTAAATTTTCAGACAAATTTTAATCCCGAACACATTTGCGCTCATAGGGCGTATTATTTTATTCAGTTAATCATCAATATGGGACGCCCCGTTGTTTGTGCACCAAGATGGTGGACACCGGAACGTAATATGTGTACCAGGTTAGGACATAATTTTATTCCAATTTTCCTTATTTTAGTTCCATTCCGAGGTCTAGCCAAGTGACTGCCGTAGTATTTGTACCTGAAATTATGGCCTAACCCTAACCTGGTACACATACTACATTACGGTGACCGCCATCTTGGTTCACATACTACATGAGTACCCAATATGGTTATATAAAACAAAAAAGAATTTCCTAGCTGATGTTGAAAAATGATTATTTACGATAAAATTAAAACACTACACAGTATCTCCTTCCAATGTCCTATTTCAGTTGTAGGGAAAGGTGTGGCCCCACGCAGTGTTTTTGAATGTAGCCTACTTGTCGGGATATCTCGAAACTTGACTGTGTTGTGAAATATTCATATATTGTAATTAGTAGCACAATCAAATTGAGTTATTCCAAGCAATAACTAGCAAATTACAGATGAACATGTTTATTTACTTCAAAGAATTTTCAATAGTTTTCCGATCAAGTGAACAGATTTTTCATAAAAGAAAAGTCATTGACTGAGTCACTCACACACCAGACTGTTTGAGAGCAATTTTGTGTTCAGTTTAGATGATCGTTGAAGCAAGAGAAGCATTGTTTCTTGTGAAGACCACTGGTTCCATTATAAGAGGTCCACAACTCTCAAATGAAAAACCCATCATTTACATAGGGTCCATGTTACTGGAAAGGTTGGGAAACACAGCAGGAAATACACAATTGTTAAGTGAGTCACTTGCGCCCCTGGTGTCTACATCTTGTCGCCAGCAAATTTGATTGTAGTCATCAACTGTGTAAAAAGTTTTCTCAATTTCAAAGCCTGTTGCTATTTAAAAAAAACAACGACTCGACGAACTAAATTAGTACATTCTCAGCCACCAAAATAAATATTATTTTTAATGTAAACCAATAACGAAACCGTATTTTTCACTGGAAATTTCAAAATAGGTGCAATTCCCAACAGCACACTGGGCTAGTTAAACAACTTAGTAGGCTCTTTATAACAGAGAGCCACGGAGAATAACGCTAACAATAGATACGCCGTAGGCTGAAGATTTTCTAAAATTAATGCTGAATATTTATTAATGATTTTTTCGAATTTGTAAGGAAGAAGAATTCGACCGTTGTTGCATATAGTGCCAAGGATCCTTGATTAGCATGCTTGTGTCCACGGTTTGCAGGTTTGAATTCTATATATTAGCCCTCCAGGCATAACTTGTTACTTATAGATCTTGATAGGTATTTGTCTGTTTGTTTGTCTGTTAGATGCACGCGATATCTCACGAAAACGAGGTTGAATCTGCTTCGAATGCATGTACATTCATCATATCTTGGACCAGAAGCCTATTGATTTTTGATGGGTTATGTCGTATAATTAGCGATTTATTGATTAATTAGTGATGGGACACGCGGTGTCACTATAGAGTCATGAATCGAAAACGCAATTTCGATCGATAAGTCTTCGGTCTCCGACCGATATTTTCGGTTATTTTATCAATACGTGTACCAAATATTTTGATTGTGATTTATTATAATCCGAAATTGACGGATATTGTCTTGTGTATTCTACTTGTACAAGAGATTTATTTGTATATTTCATGTCTGTTGTCGTACTAACGCAGCAGTCCTAAACTGCAGTCAATAAGACTTCGACTAATACCGAGATTGTCTATTCTTATATTGGATACTTTTCGTGACGGGCTATCTCATTTTGTTACTAGATACCCCCTAACAACGGCGCTTAAGTTATTATTTATAAGCTAATTGGACTTTGTTGCAGCATTTTAGTATTGAGTTCTAAGCAAGTTCTACCTTTAATTTTAACGATTCTCATTAAACTTAAGTGTAGATTTTCTGCATGATTTCTCCAATACATACAGGGTCTCGCAAAATGAATTATACTCAATGGGATTTGTGGGGTTTCCCAAAGATCCGATAAATAATTAGACCCCTGTCATCAGAAGCCCATGGTTTGGAATTGATAGCACTCCAAAATTTTCTCTCATCTCACCGTAACGCCGAGGTTCTGTTTGCCAATATATATATGCATAGCCAGCGTTTTCAAAGAGCCAGATGACCATAAAACGATATTTCTAACACATGGACTTAAAACACTTCAAAATTGAGATACTCTTTATCATTTTTTTGCTCGCCCTTTTCGATTGTATTTTATGATTGTTTGTTTCAATTTTACTGCAATGTGTACTTCAATAAATCTTTATCTATTTATCAGGACTTCTTTTATGTTCAGTAACAATCTCGAAAATAAATGTGGACAGCCAGATCAAAAAAACCTTTCATGAGTTTTTTATATTCATAGTCAAGTTTTTTACCCAAATCAAGCGCTTGATGTTGTTTTCATTATCTAAGTTTAAAACAAAGAAGTTCTAATAACTGAAATTTAACGAATATATACCTATATGCATAGCCAGCGTTTTCAAAGACCCAGATGACCATAAAACGATATTTCTAACACATGGACTTGAAACACTTCATAATTGAGGTACTCGTATCATTTTTTTGCTCGCCCTTTTCGATTGTATTTTATGATTGTTTGTTTCAATTGTACTGCAATATGTACTTCAATAAATCATTATCTATTTATCAGGACTTCTTTTATGTTCAGTAACAATCAAGAAAATAAATGTGGACAGCCAGATCAAAGAACCTTTCATGAGTTTTTTTATATTCATAGTCAAGTTTTTTACCCAAATCAAGCGCTTGATGTTGTTTTTATTATCTAAGTTTAAAACAAAGAAGTTCTAATAACTGAAATTTAACGAATATATACCTATATGCATAGCCAGCGTTTTCAAAGACCCAGATGACCATAAAACGATATTTCTAACACATGGACTTAAAACACTTCAAAATTGAGATACTCTTATCATTTTTTTGCTCGCCCTTTTCGATTGTATTT